TGTGTGTGTGTGTGTGTGTGTGTGTGTGTGTGTGTGTGTGTGTGTGTGCATGTGTGTTTGTCCCATACATATCTATATAGTTAAGGGTGAGTTTTCTCTAGCTTTTATTTTATTTCATTTTAACTTGTGAGTCTTGCCACTGAATTAGATGGCTAAAGGAAAAAGAAATTTTTCTCTGCAACAGTATCTAGATCCTTCAGAAGAAATGAAGTCCTAAAGATACATTGATTGTGGCCTGAGGAGGCCCATCCTTCTAACATCACTGTCTAGCTGTTGCTTTTAATTGTTTTCTGCACCTACACTGTTGTTCTCATGCTAGAGAGTGGGGCCAGGGAGCTGTGTAACTGGAGCAGCCCGTCCATAGGGTCAAGATGCCTCCAAACCCTGGAAATCTCCTCCCGGGGCTGGCAAGAGTAGGACTTTCCCTCCCTGCCCTGGGCCTAAATGTCTTGGTGCACATACCTTACGACTCCCACCTCTGCCACCCTTGAGGTGGTCATGTAGCCTGGCAGCCAGGATACAGGTTAAGCTTCCTCTCATGTGCAGCAGCCCCTGGAATTCCTCTTCACACAAATAAGACATTCCCAGCACCTTGGCCACAGCCAATGTTGTACGCCCACTCCCCAAAGCTTTAAACAGCCTTTGTTCCCCTCAATTAAAGGAGCTGTCTCACTGAAGCTGTCTCTCGTGAAGACTTTTCTGCCACCCCAACCCACCACTGCTAAGGTTCTCTCCCTCCTGTCCAGCCTGGTGCTCGAGGAGCCTGGTTAGCTGGAGCTAGAGCTAGAGCAGGACCAAGCATTGTACTCACATGGTATGCAGCACCTACAATGTTCTATATCCGTAGATCTAACATCCACATCAGTAATTACATTGTGATCTTTCCTGACGATTTTCCTTTTAATCTTAAACTCAAAATGTTTGCCCTTCCAATGTAAAAGTCCTATCATTTTATTTGACTATTATTCTAACTTGGCGAAAAATGTGTTCCATAAAAATAAAGAGAAATGGAGTAAAAGTCAGACTACTGGGGCTTCATGACTCAACTACGGCAGCCACGGGGCATGCTGGGGGCCAAAATCTCTTAAGTCAGGCAAGACGAAGATACTTCATAAAATGATCAGATCACACAGTTTTGGCAAGTGGTAGACAGTTAGCCTAAACCAACTGGGCTTCTCGAGTTCACATAGCTCCAGAGTCTGGAGGCTGGCAAGTCTAAGAATGTGGCCCTAGTGTCTTCTTGGCATTTGACGAGGACCTGATTCTTCATCAAAACATGGCAGCAAGTATTACACGGCCAGAACAGGGTGAGTATAGTACTCAGCTTTCTTCCTTTACATCACGAGCTAACAATGCCATGACTTTACCTGCTCTTAACCACTTCACAAAGGGTTTACCTCCAAATGCTATTAATGAATTCACAGATTGGCTTCTCAAAACAACTTGGGGTAGGAGAACTATGTTCAAAGCATGACAATGCATCAGGGAAGAGTACTTAGTCACAGGAACATACAGAATCATAGAAAAGTAATCTGAATCTCACTCCTAGGACATTCAAAGACTCCAAAATGAGATATTGGATCTTCACAAACATATATATATATATGCATTGAAAAAAGTTCTCCTACCCCAAGTTGTTTTGAGAAGCCAA